CAACATTTTTTTTTATTTTGACACCATATCAATATCTACTTGTTATAAACATTGATCGAAGAGATTTAATTTTTACGACATAGTTTGTGCATTCGCTTGGTGGAACTTCTAATGTATGACTTTCAAGACCCGTGTGTGGAAAATACATTGCTCTTATACATTGATGTGTATCCTTGGATTGATATGTCTGTTCTGTTTCAACGCAGAAATTTAAGATTTAATTTAAAACAATATGTGCACAAGAAAATAAGGATGTCAAATATTCCAGCTCGCTTAATTTGCAAAATCATCAATCAAATCCTTAAACATGCAAGGATATTATATAATAGCTAGTTAGACCATTGAAGTATTATAATGACAATATTATAAATAGTTTAAAGCAAAGTCTGTGGTTAGATTGAAAACCATAATTTATACCTCTTGCCAACTGATGGTTAGCTTGATAGCTATTGATTGTACCTCTTACCAACCGGTGGTCAGATAAATAGCTGTATTCACTTTAACACGTGTTTAACCGGTGATCAGGTTGGTATCTTTTCACTGTATCTCTTGGCAACTGGTGGTCAGAGTGATTGCTTTTCAGTGTATCTCTTGTCAACTCGTGGTCATATTGATAGCTTTTTACTGTACGTCTTGCCAACCGTTGGTTAAATTGTTAGCTTTTCAGTGTGTATCTTGCCAACCAGTGGTTAAATTGATAGCTTTTCAGCGTATATCTTGCCAACCAGTGGTTAAATTAATAGCTTTTTGCTGTATCTCTTGTCAACCGATGGTCAGATTATTAGCTTCAATAAAATAATCAATACGCTACCGATAATGTACAAATGTTACTTTTTAGGTTTTGGCTATCAAAAACTGCGTATAGCATTCTAACAATTTCATCAACTAGAACCGGATGTTCACTTCAAACCATGTTTAAGGTAAACTAATATCTTTTGATTTTGCCATTTGATTATGGACTTTCCTTTTTGAATTTTCCTCGGGGTTCAGTATTTTTGTGATTTTACTTTTTATCCAACCTACAAAATAAATAAGTTTTCAATGTATCTTAAAGTTTATTTAGATTTTACTTCTTCTGTTCTGTTTTTCATATTAACATCTAGAAGTCATTCATCAAATGATTACTTAAAAACAAAAATATACATAGTAAGGGTGATTCTTGGACTTACTGTTAACACAGCATCCTTAGTAACCATCTGTATTCTACCAATATCATCATTTTAATATGTATTTGTTCGTTTCTCTGTGCTGAGTGTTCTTGCGTTTGTTTGTGCTGTAATTCTGTCACTTAGTGTTGTCATTTTAGCGATATTTTTTATCATTGCCATATAAGCGGGAGGTTTGGCTAGCCATAAAACCATGTTCAACCCACCATTTTTTCTTAAAATGTCCTGTACCAAGTCAGGAATATGGCAGTTGGTATCAAATAGTTCGTTTCTATGTATGTTAGCGTTTGTTTTTGTTGCACTTCAGTGTTTCTGTTGTTCCGTCGTTTTCCTCTTATAGTTGATGTGTTTCACCTCGGTTTTAGTTTGGAGAGTTGTCTCATTGGCACTCGTACCACATCTTCTAATATCTTTGTAACCCGGATTTGTTTTCTCTCAATCGATTTATGACTTTTGAACAGCGGTCTTTATTTAACGGAAATTGGAGAATTCGTATTAATTACTTTCTGTCTGGTATTTATAAAGACCTCCAAAAAAGAGAACAAGAGTGGTGGAAATTTAACCTTTCAATAACAAATAAGTGGTCATCATTAATTTTATTTTCTTGTGTAATGTATATAAGTTACCATATTTATCTATTTTTGCAACATTTTTTTCTTAAGTAACTACAATCTGATAATGCAAATACTATTTTTCATGATTTACTGCAGTGAGTTGATATAAATAATCCCGCCTTTTTTTTGTCAAAGTAATTTACCTCTAACTTCAATCTCGAATAGTATATCGTATACAACCTATCAGCTCATTCATTTTTGTAGTATTCAATTGGCATGTTTTGACAAACATAAGAAAAAGTGTATGCTGCTTTTATGAATTACTATTTTACCAGAGAATGCAGGCCTTACTAAAACAATTTTCAAACGCTTTGCAATATTATCAAAGTTTCAAATAATAATGAAGGGGTAACAAGCAACAAAAAAATGAAACGAGTATGTAAAAGATGGTACTCTGTTGCTGCTTTCTTTATCAATAAGATACAACATACATGTTACAAATTCAACTCTTTAAAATTGGAACAAATGCGAAAAATGAATGATCGATTTATCATGCGATAATTTTCAATTGTGTCTACATTGATTTCACTTTGTGTTGACTGTTTCAGTCAATTTTGACTAAATTTAAACCGAGCATGTGTCATCTTATTGGATTTATTTCCCGTTTTCGTATTTAACATACATATAATGTCGGTATAACTCATTAAACCCTAAGTAGTAGAAACCTTAACTTTTTAATGTGAGGTCATTTGTCCATAACAAGGAAGTGAAACTCAAGTTCCAAAGTCATGGGTTATAAGTTGTTAATTTTTTTTATTGTTTCTTTTCAGAAACATTCTCAAATTATCGACTCAACTTCAATACATTCCGGTCGAAGTATTTGTTGTTTGTTCATAAAGTTTCCCCTTTAATATCTGAAACTAGTTGTTTAGTAGCATAAATACTGATCTATACATATAAGTGATCTGGGATTTTTTTTTATTTGGAATTAAAAACCTATAGCTTTATAATTGAGGTAAAATGTCAATGTAAACAAAATCAACTCAATCTAATACTTAAGGGAATCAATCTAAATCAACTCAATCTAATACTTAAGGGAATCAATCTAATAATAAATGCAATAATTGTTCCTTTCTAGATTTTGGGTATTTGAGTTTCACGCGGGAAAATCAAAACAAAAAAGTACAACAAAAGAATCGATATATTATTTTGAACTCTATTTAATGGAATCATGTTAAGCCCGTGTAATTCAAGCTTTATTTTCTATGTGGATATTGTTTCCGTGTATATAAGCCTTGATTTTAAAATTCTTTTGGATGTGCTCCACATTAGCAGGAGAAAGATACAAAAAAGAAGAAGTATGTTATGGAGATATTTCTGTTTCTCCTTTCTATGGTTTGTATATTTCACAACTCGTTCAATTGAATTATAGTTATGTCATACATATTTTGTTTTGTTGGAAAAAGAAAATAAAATTACTACAGTAAACCTAAGGCTTTCACGTCAAACATATATTCCCCTAAAAAACAATATTTTATATACTGGTACCTGTGCACATCTTGTTTTGAGCAACAATAATAGGATGAGGATGAAGAGGAGAAGGAGAATGAATACTGTTTCATCAAAAATAAATGAAAATATGAAACTTTTTAAATTTCAAGAAAAGTCAGATCAATGTTTTTACCAGCAAATAAATAAGATATAGACATTATTTCAAATTTTTGAATAAGGCATTCAATTTTTATTTAGATTGAACATTCTTTCACTTCCGTCAATCCTCCCTTCGACACTTTAAAAAGAATTTAGTACATACAAAAGATATTAATTAAGAAGGATTAAAAACATTTCCCTACTCTGTCATATTTGTAAAATATATATAGGTACACTTCAGAAATTTATTTCCTGGGATAAATCGAGTTTTTCATGTCGATCAATATCACACTTCATAGAAAAGAAAGTAAGTAGGAGGAAACATTTGTTATGCATTGTGATCTACACGAATAATCTACATTTGATGTTTCATTTGTGTTTGTCTATCTTTTTAAATGTACAAATATGGTAAAGTCCTATATCAAAATTAATGTATACTTAGGCTGATAGGGTTTTAATAATAAATATAGTAAACGCTTCAACATATTACTGATGAAGGGGAAAGATAGGGCTTATTCAAATGATATACGTGCAATATATATTTTCATTATGACCACGAGGGCGAACCGGAAGACTAGAGTAAGCCATGTTTAGATTCGGCCGAAATAAAACGGCACAAAACAAAATCAAGGAGGAAACTTCGTCAAAAACAGTTGATACGGTAGACCGAAGAACACTTAACTTATCTTAAAACTGAAGAATAAGTTTAGTATTCTTAGAACTTATACAATGAGAAAAAAATTAGACCTAAATACCACTTTATAGATGGAGAGGAATGTTGGGTCTACTGCACAGAATAAATCAGAATTTAAAACATTTGAAATAAAGAAATATTCATATTTACCGTTACGAAGAATATTTATAAAGTTTCCAAAGAAACCAATCCACAAAATCTATAAAACATTACATTTCGAATTCGCAAGAAGACCTGAAAACCATTAACTGTTTCTATCATAATTAAAGAAGTAGATGAGGGGATATCAAAGTAATCAAGGATAAATAAAACTTTAGAGATAAAACGACTTACATTTAAGGACGAAAAGCTAATATAAATCAAACATGCGGCGAGTTATAAGTAAGCTAACTGCAAAATATCCTTACCAATTTACAGATTTAAAAAAAGGATGCTTGAAAATTAATAACTGTTAATGCTTGATTTTGATATATAAAAGCATGGAAATCCAGGAGGCTGTTTCCCAACAAAACAGTATATTTATACGTTTGCAGACAACGGAAAATAAAAAATGTATACCGATAGTTACAGGCCCGCAGAGTCCTACAAAAAGACTAAACAATTTTTGTTAAATAATGCTTAAACCGCTCTGTCAATGTGTTTCAGGCTTTATTCTAGACGGACCTTTATGTAACCAGTGTGTATACAAATATTCCCAACACCTTATCAACTAGTATTCAAACTGTAGCTTCGTAGTTGAAAAAATAGGTAGATATGATGAATAATTACAGCAGTGTTGGGTACACATGAATTGTAAAAATAGAAGTTACCAACTTCATTTCATAGACTAGTGTTTGTAGGCGTGAAGTTGTAACAGTTCCATGACACATTTTTAACTTTCGTTTCTAAGAATTTAGGATATAGTATTTAAAAACATTTTTCTAAGTTTGTACTTTATTGAGTCAAGTACGTGATACGTATTAAGTGGTTAATTCATATTTGCCAGCACACTTATGCTTCAATATAGATAAATAAATTGAACAAGGGCTTGTATCAAGTCGGACATCACATTTCAAACAAGTAAGTAATTTGACATAATTAAATCTTTTTCAGTTCGTTGAAATTTGCCAGTTTTCAAGCAAATATTGTAGTTGAATTCTTTTTGCTATTTCTGAACGATCGACAAAAGAATATATACATATACTTCATAAATCCAACATGTCGTATGATTTAACCAATAAAGTGATCTTTTTAATGAAAGAATTATTTTATTTTTAAGGAGGACATAATCTTGTAACCGAAAAGTGTAAAGTTATTCACTATTATTCTTATCGAAGTTATCATATTTGACTGGCATGACTTCTTTTTATTTATTTAACAATTTGATGTTGTTGCTACTGTCGTATTGTATTGTCAACAAAAATGTGCATTTTTCAATTAAAGTACCATTATCTTAATATTCATTCATTTACTTCTGCCATGATGACTCAATGTGAAATAATTGGCAAATTAAATTATGTTATTTTCTATGCGATGCTTAAGCTATATGTTTTTAAAATAGAATACCCAGTATGTCTTTGTATCTTTGATGATATTTAATCCCAACAAGCGCTTCGAACATTTTTATAAAGAGTTATTTTCATTGTAAAAGATGTAGACCCATTGTAATACTATGGACTAAACTAGATTAATATATGTGGTTTAAAAAATATCATCATTGTAGTTAAACATCAAAGACGTTAGACTGTCGCATGAAAACCGTAATTTGGTACGTTGGAAAGGTAACATAAACACGTTTAAGAGATTAAAATTAACGTAGAAAAGTTACAAATACATACGGGGACGACCATTTGATATTCTTTTGAGGGGGAAGGGCGAGGGGCTAGGAGGATTTTTGTCGGATTGACTATTCATTTTCATTTGATGCTATGCATTCTTAATATTTTTTTTCGCTCACACTTGTACACGATTGATTCCTGCAATTTGTTTTGCAGAAAATTCATTTTCTCCCTGTTTATGAAAGGTTAATAATTTTCATCACCTACCAGGCCAGGATCTTAAATACCCTGTCACCTGTCTTTTCCAAATAATCAAATGGTCTTCCTCTGACATAGATTTTGTAGCTAATTACTCAGGAGACAAAATGTATCATTGAAATCATGCCGTTAATTTGTAATGGTGCGACAACTCTTAATTCCGTATAAACTGTCTGTTGTTTTTCTGTTGGTATAATTGTTCTATATCAATCTATTGACCACTTAGATTATACCTCCTTGATGACCGACATTTTCCAACATTATAATAACATTTACGGGAAAAAACATAACTGCACTAGATAGGCATTTCGACAATTAATGTCTCTTCAGTGATGCTCGAGGCCAAATTTTTGAAAGTCCAAACCTTAAACAAACTTTATGATTATAAATGTCAAAATGTTTACTGGATAAAATCTCAACTTTGTTGATTATATTTTAGACTTGCAAAGTGAGAAGGGTATATCTAAGCCATTTCCTAAAATGAAGACTGGTCCTATAAACCTACGTAAATTATCATCAACAATCTGTTTACAAAAATAAATCAAACTAAGATATATTGAAGTATTAAAGAAACACCCTATTCCAAATTAAGTTTACAACGGACTAGAGGAATCGAATCTATTAAAAACATAAAGATTCCTACTGTATTCCACTTACATAATTTTATGACTTTTGTAGATCAATGGCAGCTGAGTTACCTAACGCGTCAAATGAAAATTCTAAAATGAGTGTATGTTGTTTAGTACATTCCGATAAGGAGTGTACATTCGTATGTGGAGATTGTACAGAGTTGATTTGCGATGATTGTGTTGGTACAGAACATCATGCGGATCATGATATTAAATCCGTCAAGAAGTTTATCAAAGAAGTAGATCTACAGGATTTAAAGGAATCATGTGAAAAGTTTGACTGTTTAAAATTCAAGGCAAAAATCTTAGATGAAACAGAGAAGCGGTTCCAAACAGCCATAGATGGAATACATTCGCAGGCTTCTAAAATGATATCTGAAATCAATAAAATAAAAGAGAAGAAAATACGTGAGTGTGAGAAAAGAAAAGAAAAAAACGCTACAACGTTGAATAAAGTTCTTGCTGTCGTTGACCCGTCAGAAATAACAGACAAATTAGATAATCTACCGAAGAAAGGAGGTCGTACGCAATATGCAGAAGTTGCTCAGGCTTTATTGAAATACCGAACAACTACGGAATCGGAAGAGTTCGAGACAAAAGATGACGCATCTGTATATTTTCCAACTTTAACACGTGGTAAAATACAAAAATCCCACTTAGAGAAACTATTTGGTGAACTTAATTTCGAAAAAGAAGATGTAGACTACTTGTTTGATAGCGATGAAGAAAGTACTGAAGGTGAAAGTAGCGATGATAAAAGTAAAATTAGTGATTGTGAAAGTCAAAGAAGTGATGATGAAAGTAAAAGTAGTGATAGCGAAAGTCAAAGAAGTGATGATGAAAGTAAAAGATGTGATGATGAAAGTAAAAGTAGTGATCATGAATGTGAAAGTAGTGATAATGAAAGTGAAAGTAGTGATAATGAAAGTGAAAGTAGTGATCACGAAAGCGAAAGTAGCGATGATTAAAATGCTAAGACCCACATCAAATAAAAAAAAAGGAAATAACAAAGAATCTGATGAAGCCGTGAAAAATATTGTTAATCTTGACAATCTATTTTTTTATATCATACATTTTCAACCTGGGCTAAATACAATTATAATTAATAAAGTCGTCTTCAAAATGTAATTACATAGGGAAAAGACTGTTTAGTTTCTTGATGAGAAACGTATTACTTGAATGATGTTCACTGTCATGATTATTTTGTCCTTCTTGGTCGTTAGATATTTGAACGTAATCAAATATTGAAACATAGTTTGTATTTAGACAGATTAAGATTCAAATGACACTTCAGAAAGGATGATGAAATTAATAATGAGGTTGGTATCCTCGTTACTCACTCTTTTTCGAGACGTAAATATGACAAACTAAGGGGTCTATTTTTAACTAATTTGTGAAATATTTCCCCACAATTTCAAAATGTGAAGATAGAGACTAGCAATTTTATTTGTTACAATGATCATTATTAAAATTTCATTTGCGCTGTCATATTGATATTTATCGGCAATTTGAACTTTTTCCCTTTGATCTTACTGCCTGATATTTTTAAGATCATGGACAGGATATTCGAAAATATTAGGCAATGACGTCATGTATCTGTGCAGCAACGTCAGTTGATCAAGTCCTTTCGCGTCAATTTATCAATGAAATGCACGCGACTTCATTCATACAATCGAACAACTATCCCTACGTTTTGTACGCGTAAAAGTAGTTTTATAGTAGGGTGCCCAGTCAACAAATTTGATCAATTTGGGTTAACGGAAAAACACACGGCTATATTTTATATCATTGGAAAGAAGAGAACAAGCCTCGTAGAAATATTGATGTCGTCGTTGTCTACAGTGGTCACGATTTTCTTAAATTTTGGGTCAAAGGTCAAATCTAAAATTTCAAGGAAAACGTAGAGTCACGTTAAGACAGCTGGCCACCCCTACATATTTGCATTTATAGCAAAATAAAGTAGAATAATTCAAAGGATTACAACTATAGTTTCAATATTTAGGACTAATTTGATCATTTTATTGCCGAATATGGTTCGAGATTGACATTTGTACTTATAAGGTGCACATTTACAATTTTCATTCAGTTGTTCAATAACAGTGACCTTGACCTTTTAAATGTTCCAAAATCGAAATTTTTACATAAGATTCGATACAAGTGATCTTTAGAAATGTTTTTTTAGATATTTACATTTATAAGTTGCCCTCCCAAAATATTATTTTTTCCGTCTTTTGATAGAAGATGTTCGTCATGATTTTCTGGGTAAATATCCAATTTTCTTTTGGTGAACGTGGAAGCACATCAAATAGTACTTAGTTCCAAAACTGATGAATATGAACGCAGAATTGATTGAATTAGCAGGTCTGAGTATATATTTGCTTTACAGAAATAAAAAAACAAACTGCAAACGGTGAAAAAGGGGGAGGGTTTCTGTTACAAGTTATGAAAACAAAATGAGATTTAGAAACAGCAGGCTAATCACTCCATCTTACACACTTATATCAAGTGTAATGTACACGACTTATCGAACATAAATTGGCCTACAATTGACATGAAGTTAAAGATTATCTACAAAACGAAAGTTTTGAACAGCATCGATGTATTTTACAAACACTTGTAAGGAAATCAATCTAATTAAAATATAGATCTCTGATTTCGTTATCCTCAATTGAGCATATATATAAGAGCACGCGAGTTAATAAAGATCAGAATTTTAATAAGAGCGAAACAACATAGAAAAATTTCCGAAGCTAGTAGTAGCTATTACGTTGTAATTTCATTGTCTACTGTTAAGTTGAAAGCCCCACCGACTAGGTTTAGGAAAGAGAGCTAATTTCAGTTGTTCTTTTTTTAAATCGCATTCGACGCAAGTAGCAGAATGCGAGGCATACATAATACAATCTGATGGTGGTGGCGGCAACACCGTAAACTATTTGTATAGCTTTATATTTCAGAGGGCAGAGGAACTGGATGATTCATACTTTCTATATAGATCCTTTGTGTTACGAAGTTTTCGTCATATAATCATTATCCTTGACCTCATATTCATGGCTAAGTGACTGCTAAAAAACTGTATAGCTTTTTTCGTCATGTGAATGTCTTAATTATTATGAGCTCTAGGATAACTATATTTGGTTACTAATATATGGTATCCTTGCAAGGTCTACATGACCGTCAGACATTATTCACCTAACCTCGACCTAATTTCACGGATCATTGAACAATGTTAAGTTTCAGTGGTAAAGTCAGTACAGTCTCAGATAGTAGTGGGTTAAATATATTTGGTGTATGAAATGGTAACAAGGTGTACATGATTTTGTGGCAGAGTTCATCTGACCTTATCTCATTTACATGGAACATTGATAGTGTTAATTTTATGTAATACTTGTTGTATAATATAAAAATTAGGAGATGTGGAAGCAAGCAATTATAGGCAACCGTACGGCCTTCGATAATGTGAAAAACTCATACCGTATGGTCGGCTATAAAAAGGCCAGTTATGAAAAAAATGAAAGAATTCATTTGAAAAAAAAACTAACGGCCTGATTTATAACAAAAGATAGTTTTTACGGTAATGATGTTTATAATCATACTTTTCTCAGACTATTGATGACGTCCTTTCATTAGTTTTCAGTAAGGGAAAACCCATTTGATTTCAAAAACAGGGAAGGAATGAGGATTTTGAAAATAAATTACTTGGACTGGTATGAACTGAAATAATTGACTTTGCACAAGACAGGATGAGAATGAACACTCTTCAACATGAAATGCAGGATAGTTGAGGATATCAATGTGTACAAAAGTGAAAATAAATTTTCGCGCCGCCAGCCCCATCCCTTTCTTCAGAATATAAAATGTTCTACCCTAACGGCGAGTACAATTATATCGGTACTTTGTGTTTTTGTCTTCAAGTTAGTTGTTTTTGTGCTTCATGCCGATTTGATAAGTCAAGTCATTTCAAACTGTTTTGCAGCAGATTTTTCTTATGCTGTGTTGTTATACCATTGTCCAGGTCAGGGGAGGGTTGAAGGATCACAAACATGTTTAACCCCTCCAAATTCTGTATATGTCTCTCCAAAATCAGGAGCTTGCAATTAAGTGGTTGTCGTTGGTTGCTGTCTGTTGTATCTGGGTTTTTTTGTTGCACGAACGGTGGTATATTTTTGTTGTCGTTCCCATCGAGAGGGTTTTAGGTCGAAAACATCATACAAGACTTTTGATGTGCCATATTCCGGGTGTGAAACAAAACCGACCGATTTGATTCTTATACTACAATTATAACAAAATATTTATTCAATAAAAAGTTTAAAGTTTTGAAAAACAGACACAAAACAGATTTCTCCGAACAAAGTGATAATCTACAAAGTTAGCTGGCTATTCACAACAAATAAATCAATCACACAACAAGCAAAAAAATAGAAATGTTTTGAATGACCTCTGTCCTTGTTAATGATCTACTAGTGTAAGCAACAAAATGATTAATGGCACGAGATAATCCGTGTTTAATCAATACCAAAATGTTGACTTAATTTGTGTTTTTAATTGCAATTTTTTTCAAAACGATTTTTATTTCACGCATGCAATTTGGCACACACATGCACTGTGTCTTAATGCTTAACAGAATAAAAAATATTGTAATGATACACGTAATAATTTTGCTTTCGATGAAAATAGGGTAAATTTCGGGTAAAATTTTACTCTTACTAAAATGCTGAAATACTTATATCAAAATCACTTAAATACTTTCCGATTTCATTATATGATATATTTAATATATAAACTATATTATAGGTACTGTTTTAACTACCAACAAAGATCGCAATAATTTTACTTTTCATGTTAAAGATTCCCCGAACAATACGGTAACTGGTGGTACCCTGTAAAACACGAAATTTAGAAAATCGTGACCACGGGAACTTACGACGACAATCATGATTGTAAAATATAATGATTTTCCTATAATGTGCAAAACAATCAGCCGTGTGTTATCCGTTAACTTAAACTCGTTAACTAGAGGACTTTTCGGACATTGGGCACCCTACTATTACTAACTATTTTATTTCACTTCATATTCTCAGCTAAAAGTTAAGTTAAGACAAATTGCCTATAAAAAGAATATTTGAATTAAATTTTTGATATGACTAAATCAGCTCGCCCTAACGGGCTCGCTTGATATTCTTGCTGATAAAGTCAGTATAAAAACAAGAATGCATGACTTTACAAACATATTCCGCTAACATGTAATTGTCTTTTTCGTTATAATTGTTAAATGAATATAAATGCAATGCTGGATACTCCTGTAAGACTTTTTACCATAAAAAGATATGTATACATAAAGGCAACAGTAGTATACCGCTGTTCAATAGTTATAAATCGATTTAGCAAAATCAAATATGGGTAACAAACTAAAACCGAGGGAAACACATCAACTATGAGACGAAAACAACGGAACAACAGAAACACTAAACTACAATAAAAGCAAACGCCAATATACATAGAAACGGACCGTAGATAACAACTGCCATATTCTTGACTTGGTACAGGACATTTTAAGACAAACTGGTGAGTTGAAACTGGTTTTATGGCTAGCCAAACCTCCAGCTTATATGGCAATGTTAAAAATACCGCTAAAATGACAACACTACGTGACAGGAATACAGTACAAACAAACGCAAGAACACTCAGCACAGAGAAATACATAAAAAGTAATATAACAGTACATTACAAACATGTAAACCATGTAAACCGCAGAATAACAACGGATACCTCCCATGAATTTACGACAGCACACCAGGACAACACAAACGAAATATAAACTGCGCGTATATCTTACATAGTCACACTTCACACATATGTTTAACCTTTTGAATATTAACATTTGATTATGATTTCAAACAGTATAATTTTATAATGTTAATGCAGACAAACTAATATGTGACCGTGACTGAAAAATCTGGGTCCAGATGAGCGATACACATATTTTCATTTTTTTTTTTTTGCATTTTTCAATGCTATTTGTGTGCTTACCATGTATACAAACTCTTATTATGATATCTTGAATAGTTTTGAAAATGCTGTGGTCGTATTGTACTATCTTCATGTTATAGTTCTTTATTTGTTTTTTTTTCACATTGTTACTTTAAAATTAATTGGGTTTTTTTTAAGGTTTGGTTTATCTTCTGTCAGTTGCTTTTCATTTTCGTATGTTTTGAATATGTGTTTTGTTTTTATATGGAAATTAAAAAAAATTATCACAAACTTCAGGAACTTTTTAAGAAGAAAGAATAGAAGTCAACAGTATCATATAACTTCACGTTCCGCTATATAGATGATGTTCTCTCCCTAAGTAATTCAAAATTTGGTGACTATTTTGAACGCATCTATCCCATCGAACTTGAGATAAGGTATACAACAGTTACAGTTAAGTCTGCCTCATATCTTTTGCCTCTCTTTTGTTTTTGAAAATACAAGCGCACGATAAGCCATGTGTACAATTTAATTACAGCTGAAAAAGTGTTTGACTTTTTGGCTTTCATGGAGTTTACATTTGACAGTACACATATTCATGTATGTTTGGAACGTGAGAGTTAACAACGTTCTTTAGACTAAATTTACCTCGTTCAGAATAAAGTTTTTGGATAAAATTCATATCAAGTCACATAAACAATTAAGCTGTACTCATAAGTAAAGTTGAAGATCTTATTAAACAAGTTTAATTTCAAACATCTACGTGTTACATTATAAAGGAGATTTACATAGAAAAACAATGAAGGTATAGAAATAAATAGTTTGAACATTAAGTTGATATCTATCGCAAATATAACCAGACAACAAACAATATCTCGTAAATTCTGCCTTTCG